AAACATCGATATGATGCTGATAGAAATCTGGATTAATTTGTGATCAACTCTGTTTGTTTTGTTTCCTAATTAAGTGTGAAAATTATAATTGACAGCACCGACAAATGAATATATACACAAACAAATGTTTGGTTATGGTTAAAATAATTCAAGCTTTTGTATTGAATTTTCGGTTTAGAATTTATTTTTTCCTTTTCAGTAGGGATTTTTGGACATTATCTTTTCCGTGAGAATTTATCGTAATAGATACGGATCTGAATAAGCGACTGGAACACGGCTGTTTGTCAAAAGCATACGATTTCGAACTCGCGTAAATGTACATTTGCTAAATGCGATAGCATAAACGCTCTTCGAAAACATATGTTCGAAAGTGCTAAATGTTGCATTTTAAATGCAGCAAAAACGCTGCATAATAGATACGGATCTGAACAAGCGACTGGAACACGGCTCTTTAACAAAAGCATACGATTTCCCCATTACCATTTAAAACTCAGTATATACTGAGATTTAAAATGAAACATTTAGCACTTTCGAACATACATATGTTTTCGAAGAGCGTTCATCACAATATAAACAGTAAACAACCTTCGGTGAATTTGGCGACTGCCTTCCTCGGGGATGAATATGCTAGGGATGAAATTATTGGTACACACGCCTTCCAAGCACGCAGGGTTGCTTTTAAGAAACAAAAAATAATTAACTCCAAATAGTTTCAAAAAGTATAGTGTAAAACGAAATTTATTGAATAATTCCACATAAAATGGTATACATAAATGACGCATTTTCTAAACGATTTAATTTAAACGCATTTGAGAATTGATAGAAAAGTACTACGGATTGTAAATTTTTGTTAATTATGAGGTGAATGAAAATTTTCAACCCGTCCTGATGGTTTGATTTTATTACTATGGCGTCTAATAAATACATGGCTTTTAGTTCTAGAAGAATAAATGTCAGTAAAGACAAGTCTTTTTTGTATAATTTCTGATTTTAATTGCTCAACTTCTTTTGAACCAGAGCAACTGTCAAAAATTTCCAACAGTAAAAAGTTACGAATTGGCACAGCAGAAATGTAAAATTTTCTCGCCATAATAAAAAGTTTTTTCAACATGGAACTTTTCTACTAATTGACATGAAATTACTATCTCAACGCTCGGAGCGCTGCCACTGAGGGCCTTTGCCAACTGATTAAAAAGAGAAAATTTGGAAAGACCAAACAAAAATTTTGAGATTTCTCGTTGTGAATACGAATGCCATAGTTTTTACCTAGCTCGTGGGACTACGCAAAATTTTGACAGCTTGTAAATATGTATACACATAAAGTTGTTGGCGGTAATAAGGAGTCAAAATTAAAATGGAGAAAAGAACAAAAAGCGTAGGTTAGTTGTCAGTTATAAAATAAATCCAATTTATTTGCGAATATTTGTTTATTCTTTTTATTCAAAGGCAACCACTCGGAAAAGCTTGTGTTAATTATATTGATAACTGAACCTGGCAGCTCGCACGTTGTCTAAATTCTCAAGTAACATAAAGTCCACAAAAGAATAAGTACGCAATGTATAAATTTTAACAATACACAAAAACAGAGCTTTCGCACGAGCGTTTGTTTGGTTTTTTAACACCATTTATAATTTTCTTTTAATAAAATCACGATTTGACAAATACTTAAATTTATTTATCTAATAATTATACAGCACACAACCCTGAAATCTAAGAAAAAGTCTGAGGAAGGCCATTAAATAGCAG